CTTTCCTGGTGCCCAAGATTTCAAATTTTCCACTTGTCATCAGCATTCGAGGCTCATCCTAGCCTGTCCACTCCATAGTCCTCCTTCGCTCCCTCCTCTTATCTGCCACTGCTCGGTGCATATCAATGGAGGGCAGCTCCTCACAGGGCAGTACTCACCAGCACCTTCCCCAATCGTGAGTTTGGTTTGGGAACGGGCTGCCTGACCCTCGTCACCTGCACCACGTGGGGCCTGCTCATCAGCAACCCACTGGCTACTTGCCACTCAGGAAGTTGCTGAAGTCCCACCATCAGCAAAGACCCATCCTGAGCAATTCTCTCAGGCTGTGGGGCTGGCTTGTTGGGGTAGAATTGGTTAAACGCCTCCATTCCATTAATTTCATGATGTCAGAGCTGGAGAGGACTAAGAAGGCCACCAGCCTCTTCTCTAGTGAATGAGGAAAGGAGATAAAATGGTCTGAAGAGGAGGAAGAGAAGCAACTGTCATGTAAACCTATCTGGGTCTAAGCTGTGAGTGATGTTAGTGGCAAGGCTTGTGAATTAGATTCTTGGAGATGGTTTGGATCCTCAAAGGATGATTATTCCTTGATGGAAGACAAAACAACTGTAAAGAACTTGGTTACAACTGAGGTCTCTTTCAACAGCCTAGGCACAAACAGCACAGAGGCAGTTCTTGGCCATTCAGAGTGTCCATTTCGGCAGAAGGGCCAAGTGGCACTTGTTAGAAAGGACTAGGAATTGTTTTCCTGGAGGAATTTGTTGCTACCCTACTGCTCTGGGCTGACCAGGACCATCATGTTATGGCAACTATGTGGCCATATGAGGTTTCTTGAGCATGGCCTGNCCAAAAATACCTCTTCTCTTCAAGTAGAGAAAATTGATATTGAGTTTTGTGTGATTTCTTTCCAAGCCTCACTGGACTCTACTGGGTGTTTGCTGAATGGCTGTGCATTGATTATTCAATCGAAGGACTAGTAATTACATTATAAACCAAGGCAGCATCCTGACTGAACCAAGGAGAGAGAGAATGGCTGAAACGTAGGATCTAGATACACACGTTATAAAACTACACTAGAAAGTGAACTAATGTTGGGTTTTCCTCTTAACTACGAACACACTGGGTTTCCCTGGGTATCAAAAACTTATCAATCTCAGAGAAACAGAATATTCATTTGCAAGATGTTTATTCAAAGACAGTATTTCTTCCAAAAAAAAAGTTTATTTAGAAAGCACATGCCTTCCTACTGTTTCATGTTCACCTGGTGTTCTGACTAAAATCTTAGAATGGTCCTGCTCCAAGGGAAGATTGCCTGGTTCGAACCCAGAGTGCTGCCAAGCAGGCAGGGACCCAGACATTATTCTAGACTACTCCTCTCACCCCACAGAGGAGGAAACTGAGGCCCATAGAGGCCAAGTACCAACCCACTGTCACCTAGCTAGTCAGTGGCAAGTCCAAGTTGAGGCACAGGCCTCATGACTCTGATTTAATATAGAAATGTCCAGTATATTAGGAAACTTTCTTAAATACCATCCTGATATACAGGCTAAGTGCAGCCTGGCAAATTTAGGATTAATTTGAAAACTGACAAATTGAGCTGTGTGGTTAGAAGTAAGAGGGTGGGTGGGGACCCAAAATTGGGATGTATGTAGACTTTTGCAGATATCTCTATGAAACAGAGAAAAATAAGGAAAAGTTCTATAAATGACAAATCAGTAACATGATTTGGTAGAATTTAATAAGTTCTTGGACTAACTCAGTACTTAGACATGAGGAATGGAATTAACTGAGAAATTAAATTCACTATATAAGGCTTAATCGTTGGTATGGATTATGTTTTGTTGTTTATCTTTAAAGTAAAATGTTATAAAATACAGATGAGAAAATACACTTCTAGTTATTTGCCCTTTGGCTTTGCCTCAAGAGAAAAAAAGAACATCAAAAACTCAGATTTAGATGTCAGACTGTTGAGATGCAGAATTTCTGATCAGATTGGTGTTTTGGAGCTTAAACATTTTGGCTGCTTCTAACATTTCATGAGGTAGAAATGGTAAAAAAAAAAAAAGAAAAAAAGGAAGGCCATAATTACAAGCTGAAGTGAGCCCTTCCTCATTTCCAAACAAAATTTGCTTTTCAAAATAGGTAAGGGAATTAAAGCTAAAATTAGTTTCATTGGTTGAAAAAAAAATTTTTTTTGCAAAAAATTTTTGTTTTGCAAAATCAAGTGATAATAGACTACTTCTCACACCCCACAGAAAAGGAAACCAAGGCCCAGGAAGCGAAATATCGACTCATTACCACTAAGATCATGGGAGTAAAGTCGCAAGCACAGTGTCTGGCCCAGAGGCATTGTTAATAATAAACAGACCTCTTCCTGTTCATAATTAATGTGCAATAATGAGATCTCACTGTTACCCAGGTCAAGCCATGGCACTGTAATTTCTGTAGCTTCATCTAGTGTGACTAGATATTCTCTTGAAAGATTAATGATTTTATTTACAAAATGGGAAATATATCAATCTAGAAAACTGGCTTGATATAATCAAAACTGGAAAAACATCATAGGACTTCTAGTTTGGGGAATACCAATGTCCTGACATTGAAAAGTCCGCATTATCTCCCATGGTGCTATCTAGCTGTCACGCACCACCCACCCTTCCTTCTCCCACTTCAGAAATCTAACCTCTCCCAAAGTTTATTAACCTGTGACTTCAGGATGATACATAAACCTGGCTACGATGAGCCAGATTATGGTCCTATGGGAAATAACTCTGAGAGGTCCGTGGGGACCATCAGCTACTTGATGAAGACAAGCATTTGGATTTGTGTGGGGAACCTATGCAAATAAGTTGTAATTATCACACGGACCAAACTGAAAATGTAATTCACCATGTTTACTTGAGCAGCAGGAACTAAGGAATTACCCTTAGAATTTGCCTGGTTGGTATTTACCACTAGGCCTGATTGATGCAGATCCCATAAAGGTGCCCAACAAATAGACAAGGACTCAATGGTGGAGTGAAAATGAACCCCAGGCTGTATGCTAAAATGGGGGTGGGGCCTGGGGTAAACAAGGAAGAGGCCTAACAGGGCCTGAGAGCTTTGTGTTTCCTTCTAAGAGTGGAAGAAGCTGCTGTGGCTTCTGTTCTGATCCTTCCTAGACTGGGATGGAGGGAGAGGTGCTGCTCATCAGAGGGCCCTAATGGGGGCAGGGGAGCGTTTAGGCTGCCTGGGGTGGAAGATGGCATGACAGAATGTAATGCATGAGGTCCAGGCTTTGGATTGGCCAGGCCTGTATTCGAACCCTGGCCGCATCTCTTAACTTTGAAATAGCACTAACAAGAGTGCTTAGCCCATTGGTTTCTCATGAAAATGTTCATTGTCAGGAGCTGCTCTTATTATGCAAACACTCCCAGAGTGCAGAGTTCAGGGCAAGATTCCTTACCCTCAGACAGTAGGAGACACAGGCTGGGGCTTGGGAAGTGGGCACAGTGCCCCTTTGGGCATAATCATGTTTTACCTAAATATTCCTGCTTAGTCTAGCAATGGGCACAGGTGGGTAAAAGGGGTGGGAGGGGACTCCCTGCTTATAACTGAAGGATGAAAGTCATCATTTCCATGAAACGAAGCAGAAAACTCAGGGGCAAGACAGCCTCAGGCCCCAAAGTCAGATACCCTAAGATCTGGGACTAGGGAAGAGGGAGGTATAAGATCAGAAGAGACAACTGACAAGTCAGAGCCACCTGACCACCACACCCAGATGGAGTCTCTGGAAAGTGAAACCTTGCTGGTGGCCTTCAGGTGGCATTTATATGGCATCAGGTAGCAGAACCCCTGCCTACACTGACACACAATCTGTGAAAAAGAAATTAGCTCGGAGGCTGGACGGATTGGAAAAACAGTATAGGAGCTGCCGCTCCATGGTCCTGAAAACCTTCAGGAAAATCCCAGAGGTTGAAGGCCCAGAGTCCACAGCTGGCCAGGAGGTGGCCCCACCCACACCTCTCACCAGAGCTCCAGACTCCCCCAGATCCCAACCCTAGACACCAACCTGGTGCCAAGGACACCAACCTACAGAGCTCTCCCTCACTCCTCCTTGACTTCGCCAGCTCTGTTTCCTCTCTCTAGACTTTCCTTCCCCTCCTGCATGTGGCCAATCTCCACTCATCCTCTAAGACTCAGCTCAAGCCCTGCACTGGCCTGCCTTTCACC